TTAAATACCTGTACTTTCTACTTCTTACATGTTGAACCCAAATACCTGTACTTTCTACTTCTTACATGTTGAACACAAATACCTGTACTTTCTACTTCTTACATGTTGAACACAAATACCTGTACTTTCTACTTCTTACATGTTGAACTCTAATACCTGTACTTTCTACTTCTTACATGTTGAACCCAAATACCTGTACTTTCTACTTCTTACATGTTGAACTCAAATACCTGTACTTTCTACTTCTTACATGTTGAACTCAAATACCTGTACTTTCTACTTCTCTCATTTTCCAAACAGGCTGGTTCCTTTAGTCTGAATGTGTGTTTGGTGGCGTGATCATTATTATTTAGAGTCATTGCGTGCCTATTGATTTGAACACGATCCGTGTATCCATCATTTCCTGGTCTTCTCTAAAGAAGAGGGACCAATGAAAACGTTGTCATGTTGCCGTTGGTCACCATGGAAACATTCATGAGCTAACAATGACATTATTGTTCTATTAATATAAAGGGAGGTCAGGTACTCTTTAAAACAGCTGCTAGTTATGGGTACTTTTTACTGAAGTACATTTCAAAGCCTCTTTACTTTGACTTGAGTAAAGAAGTTTAGTCAGTACTTCTACTTTCACCAGAGTATTTTTAAACATGAGTATCTGTACTTCTACTTGAGTAAAGGATGTGTGCACTTTGCCCTCTCTGCTAGTAAGGTAAAACCCAATAAAAGGCTCTCAGTACCTGCGAGGTGCAGCGGGGTGGAGTTGCGTCCCTGTGTGTCTCTGCAGTTGATGTTTTCGGGGGAGCAGAGTTTCTGGACCCTTGCCAGGCAGCCCTTCTTGGCGGCGTCCAGCAGAGCGGCGTCTCCCCTCAGGAGGTCCTGGATGTCCGTGTCTCCGTCCTTCACCATGTCCAGAGGCATGTTGCCGTCGCGGTTCTTCTTGGACGGGTCGGCTCCGTGCTGTGGGGAAAGGACAGGATTATTGAACAGCATACAGTTATTCTATCGGCATGTATCAAAGGTTGGTAAACAAATCTTCACTTTATAGAAAAATAGGCAGAGTAACAATGTGAATACTGCTTAACGAAAGGATTATAGATTTAATAATAATTATTTAAATAATTGTATGTAAATGTTTAGTACAGTAGTAGTCTACTTTCTAGGAGTGTGATCCTGGAAATGTTGAGTAGACAGAAGTTTTATGATAGATATGTTTAGTAGGGGTCACCAGCACATAGAAACATAACGATGCTAACTTGCACATTTGGCATAAGATGCATTAATAAGCATATGCAGACATTAGCTTAAAATGAATTGGCACATTTTGGTTTGGTTTTTTGGGTTATTGGGGATGTTGAATCAATTTCTGATATGTTTTGGATTGAACATGGCAGTTTTGAATCTCTTACAACTTCAAAATCAATCCAAAATTCATCAAATCCGTCCACCAGGAGAACAAATATGGCCGCTTTCTGGTAAAAACCGCTTTGATCCAGAAAATGTCAGAAATGTTTACTTTACAAATCGCATCTTGACATTTATATTTTTTAATTACTTTCTATTCACCAGTCAACCAAAGAGTGAGCCACAAAGGAAGGGAAACAAACAAACAAACAAACAAATGGACATCTTGTCTCTTGATAATGCTTTTTGGAGATGTAAGTGGCTTCACAGGTCAAAGTGAAGCATTTCCCCACAGGGTCATCATCACAACGTAGTGGGGCGATAGAGAGGATCCTCACTTTGAGCAGCAGTTTGCAGATCTCATATTTGCCCTTGGCTGCAGCCTCGTGGAGCGGGGTGAACTTCCAGAGGTCGGCCACGTTCACCGAGGCTCCGTGTCTGACCAGCAGCTCGGCCACCTCATAGTGTCCGTAGGAGCAGGCGTTGTGGAGAGGAACCAGACCGCTGCAGGAGGAGGAAACACACAGTGAGAATATCCACACCAGAAGCACGGCGTGTGAGTGTTAGAACAATCTCCCTCGTCCCCGGCTTGAGCTTCAACATCAGGATCCATGTATTTGTGATCCCAGAATGGAAGTAGTCATCACATACAGAGCATCAACTAGTTCCTGAATGTTCCCAACAGTTACCCAGACAAAGCTGTGTGTATTGGCGTCTAAATAATCTCTGAAAGCGCTCACCCCTTGTCTTTGGCGTGCACGTCGGCTCCGTGGTGCAACAGATACTCGACGACAGCCACTCGGTTGTACCCGGCTGCGAAGTGCAGAGGAGTCGAGTGACGGCCCTCCAGATCACGGCAGTTCACGTTCTGAGGCGTGCACAGTTGCTGCCAAACACACAAACAATATCATTATTATTAGCAACTCAAATGAGAGGTTTAAAAACAGGTTTATAAGACAATAAAAACAAGGCCTTGGCTGTAAATCTGTTGTGTAATACCACTGCTTATGTGCCATCATATACACTATATTTGTAGAAGTAATTAAAAACGTGTTAATGCTACTCTCTCCTTCATTCCTTGTATATCTTCACTTACTTTTTTAAATGCTACTACTACCCAATTCTTACCATGGATGTGTAATAAGTAAGGGATAATGCGCTTATCACATGGCCACATTCTCAACAAAGTAACGTTATGACTCCCACTATTAATTGAAATGCTTTTATGGATTTAGAAAATGATTTTATTGATTTAAAAAATAGTTGTATAACTAAGAAAATAAACAGGGCTTTCAACAAAAAGCTTGTTCAATGTACTGCCAGGTGACCAAATACACAGTATATCTGCACTTGCATAGCATATGTGGTATGTATTGATTTAAATTGACATGCATCCGCTAAAGAAAAATAGTCCGTTGTTACTGTTTGAACTAACGTAGCAACGGCAGGAACTGCTTCGATAGCGTTTTTGAGGAGCTTTTTGATTACAGATTTGAAAACATCGCTGCTTGCTTTAAAAGTAGCACAATTCATTATGTCAAACCTTGGAAAGTATCTAGATATCCCTGCCCTAATGCCAAAGTAACTGCACACTGAATATGTGTCGCCGTTTGATGTCTATGTCTGGACCGTTGCGTAAAAGGAGGGTTTCTGCCCCGTTACTTCTCCGCTGTTTTCTTGTCGCTCTTGTCTTGTCAGTTAGAGAAGCAAACTTTTCGGCCAAACTGTATACGGTTAAATCGAACGG